AACGTGTCTTTTGTTGTTGACAGAAATGTCTAAAACATTAATTTTAGATTTTTGAAAAAAAATCACCAATTACGATATATATTTTAATATTTATTTGGCAAAAGTCTTAGCTGATATCTTAAATATTCATTTATATGATATTCAGTCCTTATATATTGGTCGGTTTTGGAGTGTATATATAGGAATCAAAGTCCATTGGGGAAATTCTACATTTCCACAACCAAATAAACACAATTTCCCAAAATATCAAACACCAAATTTACCCCTAGTATATCTGAGTTATTAAAATATGTTGAAAATAGGTTTTAAAGTTTCATTACTTATGTTATTGGAAAAACAATGTTATTTTATAGTCATATCTTGCAAATGTCATCCTTTACAATCAATATTGCCTATCATGTGACGTTTTAGGACAGGGCAAACAGTTACACTGACAATCTGCAATGAGATTATGAGAACATCTGTCTACACATGCAATCTTTTTATTGTTCAAAAATATAGATTTTGTTTTTGAATAATGAGGATGATTTACTGAAAGTTTTATATTTCAATTTAGTGTTAAATCATTTCAAGTTTAATTTTCTCTATAAAATGAACGAAATTTAATGGCTGTGGGATTTTCCTCGTACGCTGATTATGATGATATGATCGGTAACAATTGAATGTAGATCAATTTATCAACAGGTTGTGCTTTATTATTATTGATTATTAAACTTTTCTATCACACAGGCCTGTAACGTTTACCCTACCAGACTATATAGCTAGCTGCCATAGAATCTGTTCCTTACTCTGCAGTTTTTTTGGGGCAATTTCAAAAAATTTCAAATAATTTGTCCTACATTAGACTATTTTACATATCTTTACAACTATTGCCCTGAAAACATATATAAATTTTGGATGATGGAAATACCTCACTAATAATACCTCACTAATAATACGCCAATTCCTGCAATACAATTTTAACCTTTGTTAAATTTGCCTTAAAAACTTTTGTTTGTAATTTTCTTTCACTTTCAATTTAATTATCAGGGATGATCATGTATGAGATACAAAATATTGAACTCATCAATAGTTTCTATTAAATCAGTCGGATAAAAACTGAATACCGGATTATCGATCTGGTCTTATAGACCACAGACTTTTTTCCTGTCACAGACACCTACCAATGTTAGATCCCAGTAAATGTTGATCTCCTAAAATAGAGATGCTATAAAAATAAAGCAAAGTAATCTAACATATCAGATTGAGCCAGTTCCGCACTGCCTCCAGTATTCCTTGTGTTACAAAGACCAAACATTAGTATAAACCTTTGTATATTTGTGTGGGACAGGACATGAACAAAAACTTTTTTTATGTACCAGTCAATCTTGTTAGCCACAAATTAGTGCTAGTGAGATTTATATATCATTTTCCAGAAATTGTAATATACTGGCCCCAAAATTTTCCTTCAGCTATGCTTGGAAGGTATTTTCATACAGTACAGTGTAGATCATATGATGTGCTCTGATGTTCTGCCTGGAAAGAAAACACAATTTTTCACATGCCCACAGGCCAAATCTACTGGTCATTGGATACCGGATTTTTTGAAGCCCTGGGTGAACCCTAGTCTAGAAAAGAGTCATTGCTGGCTTCATAAAATATATTGGCATTTGATTGGTGTACTGTTAGTATCGGTTAATGTTCAAATTGATATTATCAGTGTTGGGCTGGCTATATAGGTAGCTCGGTTTTATCCTTGGAGTTAGACTGTTGTCTAGTGTGGGTAATAATCTACAGTACACAATACACACATGTGTGCATAAGTGGGTCCAACACATTCGACATGCATGCAATTACACATGAAATATGAAACACCCTTAAGACTTGGTGGAGAACAGATCTAGTATTGGTACTGTAATCATAGGTTATACTGGTACTGCTGTGAAATAACTAATGATGTCTAAGGTTGCAGTGCTAACATCATATCCCTCATATGTTATATGAAACAGATTCTTGGAAACAACATGTATGGGTATATCTAGACGTTGATTTGTCTAGGTCATCATAGAACTAGATGTAATAAGATGCATGAAATATGTGGATGGGAATCCACGACCATGTTGCTGTACACTGTTGAGGCTTATAAAGGATTCCTAGCATGTCAATATAAATATTCCTGGCGTGTACCTGTACATAATACCTGGTTCTGATATGTAAATGGAGCTACTCCAGGCTATATATAGTCGTACAGGGGTTATCTGAAGGCACTTCCCGATGGACGGCAGAACTCGGTTAGCTCAATTACACATACAGAACCGATGAGTGTATGGCACATTTTCTACAGCTCCGTTATGTCTCTAAAGACGTAATTTGTACAGCTCTAAATTTGACAGCGTTATTGTGTCTGAACAAATTCAGCCGTAATACTTTAAATACAAAGTGTCAGCTGCATGCTTGTCTATCAATTATGAAGTCACATGGTCAGCTGGTCTATACAAATTGAAATATAAAACTGATCAGGTCAAGTACAGCACCAGGAAATAAATGCACGTTTGTAGTACTGAGGGTACCAAATATAACCAGGGTTTTTACTGCATAAATCAATACAAGATCAAAACTTGAAACAGTCCCATATATATAAATATATAAAAGAAAAATATAACAATGAAAATCTGGAACAAATATATATATACTGTGCATCTATTCAAGTTTTGGAATAACAAACGATGATATCTATTGATACTGGACATTTTACCATTAACAAGTTTTAACTACTTCAATTTCTACCATTAGTCATTTCTATGTAACGGTAAGGATGTGTCTGTCACCCCCAGCGAGCTCTGACATCTAGCAGCACGACTTGTGAAGATGTTGAGCTGGAAGCATAGACTAGTAATTGCTAGCTGAAAGGTTGAGATGAAATGATTACTAATGTGGCTATACAGTACATATCTGTCTCTTTCTAGTCCACTGGCCCACTGCTTGATTTAGCAATCGACTGTCGACTTCTGCTGAGGTTAATGTAGGCTATATGTTATATGGACCAAGAGAGGAGTACAATGCTGCTGTATATAAAAAAACACACAACATTTATCTCTATCTCGAATATCTTTATGAACGTGAGCAGGTATATATATTTGTCTCCTCCAGTATACCGGGTAAAGGAAAGCAAACCTAGGCCTGAACATGAATAAATTCAGAACAAAAAACCCCACTTAACTCCTGGTGACCTTTTTCAGTCTGAATATATAATTATTGTTTACTTCATGTACTACTAGCTTTTATTTAAAACAAAAAAAATTTGAATTTGAGCTGGTCTAAATGAAGGCCTAGGGGCTTCTGTAAATTCTGTAATTGCCTCATAAGTTTTGTTTTGTAATTTTGAACATATTATATAAATAATATAGAGTCTACTACATATATGATTTTCATAACAGGAAATTCTTGAACTAAGCTAGTCAACATAGAGAGCCCTCTTTTATTTTCTCATAAGGATCTGGTTGTTGCTTTGTTATTGAAACTTTTGACAAATATGTTTTTTTTCATAATTTTACAAACATAAAGAATTTGACTTATGGTGAAAAAAATATTAATACTATAAACACATGGTAACAATTGTCAACAAAGGGAACATTTCAGTTGAAGGGGTGATTACATCTGTGATATAATTGTTGGTGTCTTTTACATCTTTTACTTAATCTTTTGAGATATTACTTTGATGTTAGATAGTTGTGATAATTTTTTGGTGGGAACTAGATTTATTGCTGATGCATGTTGTAATTACAGTTTTTGGAAACCAATCTTTTATATCAACTGGTTAAAATAGTACTCCAAAAATGTATATCATCTTAAATATGGTTCAAAAAGAAATTGTTGTTAATCTTGAGGTATCATTTACATATATTATTCATATATATATATACATAGTTTAATTTTGGACCAAATTGTCGAGGATTTAGAAAAAGCCAGCCTTATAACTTGGATACTCAGGGTTGTGTTCTACATGTGTATAGTTTATCTGTAAGTAGATAGCTCCACCTACTGTTCCAGAAACATCATTATTATTTATTTATTGTGTGTTCATAACTTATTTACATTCTCCATCAGCCTTATAACTTGGATACTCAGGGTTGTGTTATACATGTGTATAGTTTATCTGTAAGTAGATAGCTCCACCTACCGTTTCATCATTATTATTTATTTATTGTGTGTTCATAACCTATTTACATTCTCCATCAGCCTTAAACAATTTCAATGGCATATAACATCAGATATGAATAGGAAATACTGGCCAGGATGGGTCTGTTCTTGTGGTATGGCAGCAGGATGGTCATCAGTTGAGTTTGATACAGTCAATACAAACAAGATTGTCTCTTGAAATTACTCACTTGCGATCTTGCAAAATTGAAGGCTCAGGATACCTACCCTGTGGATGATACAAGACTAGTTTGATCCTTTGATGAACATGAAAAGAAGCCTCCAATAAGCTAATGGTAAAATTGTCAAGCTTTGAAGTAAGGTTACTCTTCTGTAATCTTCAAAGGACAGGTATCAGCTTGGTGATGGGTCAGATTATTTTTACCATAGACATATCAAATAGCTTGTCGCATGTCTTCACATTTGCCATGATATGTATACCCCTGAAGTATTGAGGATGTTGGCAACTTGAGTGTGCATTATGTTCAAACTCTCATATTATAATAATTGACATACAGTATCCAAAAACAAATCTTCCTGCGTTCAAAAACTAATCTTCCTGCATTCCTGTCACCAATCATATTTTTTTCCCTTCCCTATAATAAGAATGTGTATATATATTTTTTAACAAGCACCAACAAATCTGAATTTGCCTCTTTATTCTTTGTAAAACATTTTTGAAAAATAAATTAAATCTGCATGCTTATCCAAAATTTTGTTGAAAGACTTGCAACGACTATTTCCTTGGACTGGTAATGTTTGACCACATATACCCGGGTACCCAATACATTACAATGTGAGTTCTATTTTTCCATGTGTTCCAGAATGCAGCCACCATTGGAGAATCTTTGAATGTGGATTTTGCGGGGGCAAAGGAGGGTGGAGCTCTCGCCATAATGAAAACACCGGAAGTGGTCCTTAATGGCAGCAAGCTTCTGGATGAATCCAATCCTGAAAAGGTAGCTGAAATATCCAAAAGTCCTGCCACAAACGGCTACCTATCCGATACTGGAACAGAGAGCAAGGGAGATGGACCTGGTGACGGTGTGCTGGCAACTGGAAAAAGTGATGTCCAGGATGTAGATAAACTGAAGAAAAAGACGATTATTAACGGTAATATCGCCCCAATTATATCAATAGAAACTTTGGCAACGGATAACAAAAACACTTCTGAGCAAGTCAAACACGATGTTATAAACCCCGAGAGTGAAACTGTTAATGATTCACCAATGATTTCCTCTTCAAAACATCCCGCACCAAGTGAGAAAATTGTATCGCCACAGTTAGATTGTGAACAAAATGGTCATCCTCCGTCAGAGGAAGCACAAGACGGGTTGACAGTTTCAAGGTTATTGGGTGCAGGGTCACCTAGTACAGATGTGTCAGGTACTGGGCCTACAGAAAATCCAGAGACTGTTTCTGGGTCCGTAAGTACCAGGACATGTAGGAGCCGCAGCAAGACTCCAGTCACCACACGTAGCAGGAGTGGAACACCTGTCAGCGTGGCGGGCACTGCCTCTTCTATAGAAGACAGCAGGAGTAGTACTCCCGTAAGCACTGCTATTAGCAGCTGTACTTCAGTGGTTTCCGATGGTAGTAGGAGTACAACTCCAGATCCCATCTCAAAGATGAAAACTGATCCTGATAAAGTTCAATCTGATTCTAGTATTCAGGGAATCCTTGCCAAAGAAGAGGAGGACGAGAAAGAAAAAGACTCCATAATATCTACGGAGAAACCAAAAGACATGTGTGTAAAGGAATCTAGTGTTATTGAAAATGTAGTGAACACCACAGAAATTAAGACCATAGAACTTAGTTCAGAGTCCACAGATGCTGTCCAGACTTCTGTCAACAAGACAGAAATGGCAGACCCACCACTAGAAACAAACCCTCCATGTGACACACATTCAGAGGATCAGGATTCTTTAGATGCAAAGTTAAGAAGCCAAAGTGCCCGTAGCTCTGAGGAACGTTCGTTCATTGGTAATGTACGAAGTTCTGAGGAGCGATACTTAGGAAGTCCATTAGGTAATCTCTCAGGTTGTCGAAGTTCAGAGGAACGATCTCTGGACTCGACGGACAGTGCAATGTCAAATAAATCCAGAACAATTGTGCCTAAAGCCCGCAAGTCAGGATTCCCATCATCATCTCGAAGGAAACGTGACCTGTTGCTACCAAACAATGTCATAGTGAAGTTACCAGACTTTGACAATCCTATACAAATTGATAGCCGGACACTAGAGAAGATAAGCCGATTAGGAAAAATGGAAAACAAGCATAAGGGGGCAGGTCCCTCGAAATTTCACGATAAACATTTACCAAAGAAATCTTCCCCAAAGCTCTCATCAAAACGCTCATCCCCTATCCTATCTAGTCCAAGTAAAAAATTTCCCTACAAACGCAGAAAACGGAAACTAGGAGGTTATAAGCTTCCCAATGAGATTCGTAAGGGTAAAACTGGGAAAAAGAAAAACGACTCTGAGAGTGGGAAGGACACTAAAGGTTCCGATTGTGATGATAGTATAGATGGCCAAATGGTCGTAGATTTTAATGACAGTCAGGATACTGCAAGTGATACGTCGGCAATGGATGTAGATAATAATTTGTGTGTAGAGCACAAGTCGCAAGAGTTGTCTGTTCCTGGCAGGATGGCTATAAAAGTTGAGGCCGATATCCATAATGAACATTTTAGCGTAGCTAGTGAAAGTGATAGAGTATTGAATAATTCCGCTTTTGCCCCAACAAGTCCAGAAGCATCCAAAGATGGCAGCACTAAAAGCGTTTGGGACATTTTCAAGCATTCTACTAATGTCACACCGAAAAGTAAAAATACTCTAGGCAGTACCCGGAGCACGAAGGGGGCATGTGTCAGGAAATTAGAGAAGATGGGAAAGGAGCTCCATAAAGGTAAAACCATGGATGCTTATCTGTTGGGGAACCACCCTAAGTCGGAACCGGACACGGAGACCAAGGTATGTGTAAGAGAGGTGGCGTCTATGTTGTTTGTGTTATATCCAGTGTAACTTGTCAGTTAAAGCATGGTGGACTGAAGCCTATCACAACAATAGTGTTGGTCACAAGCTTTAAGCACATTATACCAGTGATAGTACAATTCCGTCTTTAAGTATTGCAGAGTTATCTTCTCTTGTGAGCAGGTATTGATTGTTACGTCATTGGTTTGTGTGAAAAAAAATACGTCATCTTCTCAAAAATTGGTGACGTTACTCTCACAAACAAATGACGTAACAATCAATACCTGCTCACAAGAGGAGATAACTCTGCAATACGCAAAGACGGAATAGACTAATATGAAAGTCTACTGCCAACCAGATACCTGTAATCATATTGATTTACGAAACAAATAAGGCACATGTTGACATTTTGTTTTTGTTTCATTTGCTACTTATATGTCTAGATATGACCACTGTATACACATTACTTAACAGAATGAATTCTACAATTATTCAATGCATGTGTGATTGCATTATTGCACATTAGAGCTGAACTGTACAATGTGGTAACAATAATTTGTTGATAAGATATTTATTTGAGGTTAATTCTCTTTTTAATAGCCATGAGGCAATGTTTTACAATGTGGGTTATATTCAGAATTTGTATCATTGACTAAATTTATCCTTCCAGGTATCAGAATCAATTGTAATGAATACTCCATCTTGTAAGTATAGCTTATTGTCAGTCAAGATTACTTCAGATAAAAAAAAGTTAGGAACTTACTGTTAGCTTTGTGAGCATTAGCTATTACCAGGTAAATGGTTCTGTCATCTGTCAACTTTTCACTCAAAAATATACCAATTTGACCAAATGTGGTATGGAATGGAGCAGCATTCCTTGGCCAAGGAGACTCGGCATTGTTTAAATAGAGTGTTTGGCGCTAGAGGGGAAAAAGGAGTACATCATAAGATTTTATTCTAATGTAGTGTATATTAAAGGATCCTTGGACCAAAGAGACTCCATGAGTAGCCTTTAATAGTTTATCCTCGCTGGATCCTGTCATACTGCCCCAACCACCTTTATTAGTGTAACATTGAATCCCCTTGGCTAAAGAAAATACCAAATTATTTTTGAGCCCTTATATAGGAATAGAGAAATTAAGCTACCATTTGAAGATTTTGTTTTAATGCTAAATTTCTGTATGTTTCTGTCTTGTATTTTGTTCTTTTGGTTTGCATGTACATGTTTCATATTGAATGCACCGGGTAATATTAGCAAAGGACGGGTAAGCTACAGTTGTATTCAGTCCCCTGGGCCTCATGTCCTTCATGATCTTCATAAGGTTTTTCTGAAGTCCTTGTTATGAAATACCTGATGGGAATGGAACTACTCTAGGCCACTATGTGTGTGTGTTTGTTTTAAGTTTGAGCTTATTGTATTACAAAGTAACCATCTTATATGAATGAGGATGGAAACATTACCGAATTGACTTTTGAATTGCAGCACACAAGGTTGATTCAGATGAAACAAGAAAAAGGAAAAAAATTGAAGGTAAGGATGTTTTTTATAAATAAATACTCTGTAAGGGACAGTGCATTAATGCTGACACTGAATTCAAAGGGAATTGGCCATTCCCAAATAGCAGTGATCCATGATGGCTCATCACTTAGTGGCTGATATGTTGGCCCTTTCACCCCTTTGTAACTTTAGTAGACTCTACCATGCATTGATCTAGACGAGTCCATTATGGTCTACAGTGGTGATAGGGTTAAAATCAAACATTCCAAAGCACTGTTTAATTGATAATTTTTATAGGAAGAAAGGTATAATATCTATTAATTCATATTTTGTGCTCTCACTCATTATGACAATAGAATATATATGCAACAATGTGCTGCTTAGGACTTGATGTTGATCAGAAAATTCATGTATTTATCGGGTCTTTAATCATTATGAATTTTTGTTTTCAAAATTTTCTCGGGGGGAAAAACCAACAACTCGGCACTCATTTCATAAAACTTATTCAGTGAAATTCATTTAAGCTCTTAAATCTGTTGATTAAGTATTTCATAGTAATTGAAGATATTAAGAGATTATGCAAAGCTTTAGGGTTGGAAGTATCTTAATATCATAATTCGGAGTAGAATCAAAGTATCTATTGAAAGAGTACCACCTGTCTTGTGCAACATTTGTATTATTAGATCACTGTGACCTGTATTTTCTGCTTCACTTTGGTGAGACTTTGCATTTAGCTGTATTACTTGGGTAAAGACTATTTTTTTGGATATGAAGGGGAGTAGGAGTGTTTATATACTACATCTGTATGTTTTATAATCGTTTTCTAGTTCAGAACATATGTTGCAGATTTATCTATTCTAACATAGTTTTCATTCCAAGTTTCATTTTCACCATGGATAGAAAAAATGTTCTTCTAACTTTTCTATCTTGCTAATTATTGTCATGTTTATGACTCATGTTTATGACAAATCAGTGACTTTATGCTTGTTTCAATGTAAAACCTGTTTCCTTGACAGATGATGATTCTGATGAGGAAGTGACGATCCGTTCCCGTCCCATGTCCACACCTCAGTCCCCATTCCAACATCAATCAGGTTGGTCAGGATTTCAGAAACCCTATATCCAGCACCTGTACACAGGTTGTTGATGGGGATATGATGAGATTACAAGGAAACGGACAGTCCATGACTTTACAAGAACTTAAAAACAAAATCGAGACAAAAACCAATGAAGAAGGGAATTGTTGAGAAAACAAAATACATAAATACACTGAGCTTGTTTTTTTTTTTAAATTTATGCTTTAAAAACATACTAGTGTGCATCACATTAAGTCACATTGTATGTATATATTTAAAATTGACAGCGTCTACAAAATGTTTGTACAGCTGAAGATTCACTGGTATGTTTAAATTGTATTAATGTTGATACATTACCATTGACTAAATGTGCTTTCTTGATAAGTTTCTACATTTATAACATATACCAATTTATTGTAATTTCTCATATATACTTATATGTCTTGTAGGCAAGAAGCTGAAGTTGGAGGATACACGCAAGACCCTTATAACTGTGCTCAATACCCCTCCTGGGTCTATGCCTACTCCCACAGGCCTTCGCTCTCTACTGCCACGCTCACTGATGGGGAGCCCCACCAACTCAATGCCCAAGCTTGAAACTCACACCGCAATGCAAAATGTTATCGCTTCCAACAATCCGCCTAAGCTGATAGTGCTGTCATCAGGGTCACTATCTAACAGCTTACAGCAGCCTCCATTTAGCTCAAGTATTGCCATGGTTACCAAGCCCTTAACCACAGGGGCCACACCCCCGATTTCCTCTCCGTTGTGTATCAAGAGTAATAATTCTCAAATGGAGATGACCCCACAGGGGCGTGCGCCAGTCCTGAAGAATCTGTTGACAGAAAACATGGGCAGGGTGGTGTGCCTTGGAGGAGGTGAGCCAGAATCTGAAAAAGAAAATAGTTCAGACTCCCTCCCGTCGAGTATGAGTTACCCTGTCACACCGCCCAAGACTCCTGATGACCAGCACAGCGAGGACTTGAGTTCAGTAAGTAATCTGGGTTGATTATCAACAAGACATTCTAGAGGTGTAAAGAGGCCTGGTTAAAACTATATCATGTAAAACATGAAGTAGGTTTGCTTTCTGTGGCTTGAACTTTCTTCTCTTAATTATATCTGAAGATCGCTGGTAATTGTAAAGGACATGTTAGTTATGAAGTTTAATTGAATTTAAATATTTATGAAAATTTGATGAAAAAACATTTTGCTGTTCTCTCTCGATAATAACAGCTACTAACCTTACATTTTTAACATTGAACTAATTCTGGCAAACCAACTATAATACTTTTCTAGTTCATGAACTTTATTATACCCTTAAGAAGTCCACCATTAGCGCACGGTCGCTTTTTAGTTTTCAAAGCAGAAGTAATAGTTTGGTTAATTAGTTGGACTACTATGCATGTGATTGTAAAAAGTTGCTTCAGTAAGTCTGAACTTCTCTCCACCCTCATTGCTTCAAGGTTCCTATAAAATCTGGCATAGATTATATTCAAGTAAGTGTATGAATGTCTGAACCTACACGCTTGTCAAGCAACATTTCTGTGTTAAACGAGACTCTCACAATGATCAAAAATGTCACTGGATGGTCTGATATAGACACAAAGATATATCAACTGAACCTTTTAGCTCAGAAGTCTGAGTACATGTTATTAATGGAGACTTAAAGAATGCTTGTTCAGTTGTCATAAATTTGATTTTGATAGTTTGTGATTGATTAAGTTTCCACTTTTTGGACTTAAAACACTTCAGCGATTGCTCTGTAAGAAATTTAGAGAAAGACGGTAAAAATGTGCTTGGCAAGTTGAGTCGGTTTCAATTTTGTTGTTTGTATGATGTTATATATATTTTTTCCGGAGTAGATCCATTAGTTCCCTGAGTTGTTGCTGTGGTGCTGGACATTTTCATGGATATGTTTACTGTAATCAGGCTTTTTGGAGCCATTTTTTGGCCAAATTTCAGTCTTATTAATGGAAAATAGGGATATTTTCCCCTAAATTCTCAGATTTGGAAAGAAAATTAAAAACAAAATCAGCATATATTTTTTCTTGCTCTGAAAATTCTCCATCAAGGACATATTTTAATATAGCAGTATCATTATATACATTTGTTTCATTAACCTCATGCATACAGGTACTTGACATCAGTGTGTTGTACATGGGTTATTTTCAGAACCAACATTTCGTAGGTCAAAGGTCAAATAATCTTCTGCTTCTATTGCCACGGTGAGATTTTGTACTGGAAAATAATGAAGTCAAATACCTTCTGCATACAATTACTTCTAAAAAAATTTTTTATGCCTGTAAAAGATTGATAATTCATTGGAACTTCAGTTTGCGAAATAAGTTTAAGCTCCAGAGCCCAAGGGTGTTACAAAAGTTCATCGACTATGTTAAGATAGAGATATTGACTTGTTTTATTTGTAAAAAAATAATAATTTCAATTGGCAGCTGTGATGAAATCAATTTGAAATTTTCATTTGTTACACTGAATTCAACTTCATATGGGACACAACTGAAATGTTACAGAATAATCTCGTGTGAAAATGTTCTATTGCCGTACAGTTGATTTTGTTATGTATCTCTATATGAAATGTTCTATTGCCGTACAGTTGATTTTGTTATGTATCTCTATAGGAGGAATGAGAGGTTCTGTTTTGTTACTTTTAACTGTACTGTACAAATGGTTTGGGCCTGTCATACATACAACCATGGAACCTTATTCTACGGGACCTTACCCTCGTGGTTCCTTCCTTCTTGGCCTTCAATCCAGTGACACATTGTCCTACTGGACCTTACCCTCGTGGTTCTTTCCTTCTTGGCCTTCAATCCAGTCACACTTGTCCTACTGGACCTTACCCTTGTGATTCCTACCTTCTTGACCTTCAATCCAGTGACACTTTGTCCTACTGGACCTTACCCTTGTGATTCCTTCCTTCTTGGCCTTCAATCCAGTGACACATTGTCCTACTGGACCTTGCCCTCGTGGTTCTTTCCTTCTTGGCCTTAAATCCAGTCACACTTGTCCTACTGGGCCTTACCCTTGTGATTCCTACCTTCTTGGCCTTCAATCCAGTGACACGTTGTCCTGCTGGACCTTACCCTCGTGTTTCCTTCCTTCTTGGCCTTCAATCCAGTCACACTTCTCCTACTGGACCTTACCCTTGTGATTCCTCCCTTCTTGGCCTTCAATCCAGTCACCCTTTGTCCTACTGGACCTTACCCTCGTGGTTCCTTCATTCTTGGCCTTCAATCCAGTCACACATTGTCCTACTGGACCTTACTTGACCTTCAATCCAGTGACACTTTGTCCTACTGGACCTTCCCCTCGTGGTTCTTTCCTTCTTGGCCTTAAATCCAGTCACACTTGTCCTACTGGACCTTCCCCTTGTGATTCCTTCCTTCTTGGCCTTCAATCCCGTCACACTTTGTCCTACTGAACCTTACCCTTGTGATTCCTTCCTTCTTGGCCTTAAATCCAGTGACACATTGTCCTACTGTACCTTACCCTTGTGATTCCTACCTTCTTGGGCTTCAATCCAGTGACACATTGTCCTACTGGACCTTCCCCTTGTGATTCCTTCCTTCTTGGCCTTAAATCCAGTGACACATTGTCCTACTGGACCTTGCCCTTGTGATTCCTACCTTCTTGGCCTTCAATCCAGTCACACATTGTCCTACTGGACCTTACTCTCGTGATTCCTTCCTTCTTGGCCTTCAATCCAGTGACACTTTGTCCTACTGGACCTTACCCTCGTGGTTCCTTCCTTCTTGGCCTTCAATCCAGTCACACTTTGTCCTACTGAACCTTACCCTTGTGATTCCTTCCTTCTTGACCTTCAATCCAGTCACACTTTGTCCTACTTGACCTTACCCTCGTGATTCCTTCCTTCTTGACCTTCAATCCAGTGACACATTGTCCTACTGGACCTTACCCTCGTGATTCCTTCAATCCAGTGACACATTGTCCTACTGGACCTTACCCTCGTGGTTCCTTCCTTCTTGGCCTTCAATCCAGTGACACTTTGTCCTACTGGACCTTACCCTCGTGGTTCCTTCCTTCTTGGCCTTCAATCCAGTCACACTTTGTCCTACTGGACCTTACCCTCGTGGTTCCTTCCTTCTTGGCCTTCAATCCAGTCACACTTTGTCCTACTGGACCTTACCCTCGTGGTTCCTTCCTTCTTGGCCTTCAATCCAGTCACACTTTGTCCTACTGGACCTTACCCTCGTGGTTCCTTCCTTCTTGGCCTTCAATCCAGTCACACTTTGTCCTACTGGACCTTACCCTCGTGGTTCCTTCCTTCTTGGCCTTCAATCCAGTCACACTTTGTCCTACTGGACCTTACCCTCGTGGTTCCTTCCTTCTTGGCCTTCAATCCAGTCACACTTTGTCCTACTGGACCTTACCCTCGTGGTTCCTTCCTTCTTGGCCTTCAATCCAGTCACACTTTGTCCTACTGGACCTTACCCTCGTGGTTCCTTCCTTCTTGGCCTTCAATCCAGTCACACTTTGTCCTACTGGACCTTACCCTCGTGGTTCCTTCCTTCTTGGCCTTCAATCCAGTCACACTTTGTCCTACTGGACCTTACCCTCGTGGTTCCTTCCTTCTTGGCCTTCAATCCAGTCACACTTTGTCCTACTGGACCTTACCCTCGTGGTTCCTTCCTTCTTGGCCTTCAATCCAGTCACACTTTGTCCTACTGGACCTTACCCTCGTGGTTCCTTCCTTCTTGGCCTTCAATCCAGTCACACTTTGTCCTACTGGACCTTACCCTCGTGGTTCCTTCCTTCTTGGCCTTCAATCCAGTCACACTTTGTCCTACTGGACCTTACCCTCGTGGTTCCTTCCTTCTTGGCCTTCAATCCAGTCACACTTTGTCCTACTGGACCTTACCCTCGTGGTTCCTTCCTTCTTGGCCTTCAATCCAGTCACACTTTGTCCTACTGGACCTTACCCTCGTGGTTCCTTCCTTCTTGGCCTTCAATCCAGTCACACTTTGTCCTACTGGACCTTACCCTCGTGGTTCCTTCCTTCTTGGCCTTCAATCCAGTCACACATTGTCCTACTGGACCTTACCCTCGTGGTTCCTTCCTTCTTGGCCTTCAATCCAGTCACACTTTGTCCTACTGGACCTTACCCTCGTGATTCCTTCCTTCTTGGCCTTCAGTCCAGTCACACTTTGTCCTACTGGACCATACCCTCCGGCCTCGTGATTCCTTCTTGGCCTTCAATCCAGTCACACTTTGTTCTGCTGGTCCTCCAACCTGGATAGGTTCTGTCTCGGCTGTGACAAAACCTCAATGATCCCTCATTAACAGTCTTTACATTAATCTTTGTATTGTTGTGAGGTGAATTTATGAGTTTTAAATGGTGTTTTAATTTTGACAATACAGATGATTCAGTGTTGGACAAAACTATCTATGTTTTTGTTGTTTGAACATTTACATTGTATTTGATGTCAATATCACATTACAAACTGAAGAAATTTAGGTATCACTTAAATGGATTCTCCATATCTTTTATGCCTAATGATATTTAAAAGTGAAAATGTGAGAATTTCTTTTTTCTCAATTTACTTAGTTTGAATGAAATTCTCTGGGGGAATATTTTAAATATACAAGATTGTTTTTAATTAGAGATCAATTTATTGCTTTAAATGTGCCTTTTTCTTTTGGGTCGGTTACCAAGTATCTTGAGTTTATTTTATTTTGGTGCTTTGTGAATAGTTGTCATAATTTCATGGTTTTGATTACATTAGCATGTGCATGATGTGTTGAAATTTGGTCTCGGTAGCATACTGAAAGTTAATTTGTTGACAAAATTTAAGTTTATCAGTGATCAATTACATTATCTTTAGTCTATTCACTTTGCTAAACCAGTTTCAATTCATTGCTGGAATTTAACCACTAGATATGTTGGAACCACACATTTTTAAATTGCTTGTCGCAAAATGGTAGTCCAAGTAAAGTATTACTTTTTTTCACCAACTGGATTGAGAATTGTTTCCCCTGATTTCCATGTAAGTAGTTTGGTGATTTTTTTAATCTTTGTTAAATAAATGAGAAATGACTCCTTACTGAGATTGTTATAGCCAGTACTCCCTTCAGCATAAATGCTTAAAGTACAGTGTTTAAAAATAAACTGTTGTTTAGATGTGTTTGTACCCGTATACCATGCTGATTACATTTCAGACACTTTTCACTTATCCAGAGAACATTTTGATGACATGAGATAATTGGCATGATTCAATGGTCAATCTAGAAATAGACATTTATTTGTACATTTCCATCAGTATTTGTCTCAAAGTTCTCAATTTTTCCCAAATTTCCATCTAGTTAGATTAAAATTCTCCCCATTCAAAACTTTATTTGGTTTCATGAATTTTTCATGGAATTGATAAGTGTTGATATAACTTTACCCATTGAAATTCCATTCAGAATAAATATTAAGTAAACCAAATTATGTTAAAAAAACCCCACCTTTGAATATATTTTCCAATAATTTTATAAAGTGTATTGTTAGAATTATTATCTAAAATTGCATTTGTACAATGTAAATACAGGAGTATACCCCTAGATGTTTTAAGATAGCATTCCTCTTTTCAGAAGGAGAGTTTTTTTCTCTCTCTGAAACTTTATCCATGAGAACAATCCATTATATTTTGTATAAAAATATGTTAACAATTGTTTGTTCCTGTAGGCTCCACCAGGCCCCACCCCGCCAGACAAGGACATCATCCCTCTGTGTTGCTGTAAAATCAATGGTGCTAGTTTTAAAAAGCTTGGGTGTAGTACAACGTACTGCCAAGCTCTCGACTCCATCGATGGAAAGGTAAGGGCTGTGAACTGTGTACATAGCTTCATTTTCATGAACACTTGTTTTCAAAATCTTCGGATGATTTCTTCTTTAGAGCTCAAATGTGTAAAGGGATGTCAATCACTATACATATTGTGTAGTCTCTTGTTGAATAATGTGTTTCTGTTATATTCACAGACATATGAAAATCACAATTTATTCACGATATTTGAGACATACATATTTTTTTTTACTGAACCAGAACCAAACAATGACCAAGATTAAATTGTTATTCATGACATCAAAGATTTCATAGTGATGCTCTCCCTTTTCCAGGTGATGGGTTGCTGCAATAAGGTGACAAGTTCCCAGCTGGTTCGGCCAGGAGTCAAGATACCGTTCATGGCTTTGTGTGAGGCTCACCGTAAACGGTTACGACTACACCAGTGCTGTCCTGGCTGTGGTCACTTCTGTACACAGGTATGTCCTGTACTTTGATACAGTTACCGCCACACCAGTGTTGTTCTGGCCGTCGTGGCTGTTGGACAAAGGTACATCCATCCGGCATAATGTATACAATAAATTCTCTTCAGATCACTAATCAGGATTCAGTATTCACATTGGCAATATCCCCTATTTCATTCTGAAGGGAAAATTTTACAAAGCAATCTATTTGCTGTCAGTGTTACCCTATACATATTACAAAATCTAAGGAAAAAGATTGACCCAGTGCTGTTTCAATATCAAGTTATTTTACTGTTGTAAAAAGAACTACAGTGCTTAACAACTTTTGTGTCTGTTTCAGGGCAAGTTTTACCATTGTAGGAAGGAGGGGGCTGTATCAGTCCACCACTTCCACAAGCAATGCCAAGTCCTGAAGGGAGGAAAGTACTACTGTCCCCACTGTGGGGAGGAGTCGCAGCAGTTTGAGGTGTCCTTGTCGTTAGAGGAACCTGGTACGGAAAGTCTAACGGATGAGAAACCCAACGCCAGGGCAGCTCAGTAAGTACACAGTGGATTTGTATTGATCTTGGGGCGCTATACTACAAAAAATAAATTCTGTGCATTAATGCTAAATTGAAATGCAATTAAGGCTGAAGTTGTTCGATAGCTATTTCAGGAATAAATATATTGCATATGAGCAAAGCAAAATTTAATTTAGAATAGCCCTGATTGGTTTGTATGTTTGTATTTAATTTGCCCAAAATTCTGTCATTTTCAGTATAAACAGAGCCAAGATGTCCATCCACGCCAACACATACAGATCATTCCTGAAGCCAGACAAAGATCCAAGTGAAGATCAGATAACTGCCTCTCATAAACTATCTAATGAAAGGACACTGTCTACAGGTAAAATGGATGATTTATCTGTCATCGTATGTCCAAAAATAAAGTAAATTGATGGTATATCTCAGAAAAATTAATATCAAAATGTAAATGTATGACATACATAGACCTATCAGTTGGAATTAGAAGTAGGGGACACAACCAAGTCCTAGGTTTTGAACACTTAATTTTACTGAAGGACTCAATTCAATACCTTTTTAAGGAATTGAGAATAAATATATCCTTTGCTAAATAAAACACTCAAGAAAAAGGATATGATATATTTAAAAGATACATTCAAAATGAGGTATCTTAGAACCAGGTTGATCAAATGTCCGACGTATGACATATTTTATCCAGAAGCATGCCTAAGTGGATATAACAAAGTTTGACTACATTTAAAACTGTTTTCTTCAATAATAGAACAACATTATCAACCAATACTTGTATTATGTATGTTTGTTTAGGAGGAGTCCCCATTGGACCTGATAAGAATGCCCTAGAAAAGGTCATTAACAGCTTAGCTATGGAGAGGTACATATATACATACTTCAAGATTCATCTTGTCACTTCATACAATTTCACATGGATTCAAACCAAACAGGTTTTGCTTTTTCATTTGATGCAACATTAAGAAAAAATTCCAATAACTATGATTTGTATTCCTTTGACATTGCAATGTTAAAAGTTCCAATATAAGATGTATACACCATAGCAAGTAGAAATCGGAAGAACATCCATGATAATGCACATCAATAACTGATGATTTGCCATTCTGTATGCTTAAATGTGAATTTTATTTTCCACAGGCCATTGAAATACCGTAAATTGCCTAAATCTATGTACAACCCAGCATATGAGGGCGACTTGGAAAAGATCATCTACATGATAGGTAAATTCTGAATATTATAGTTGACGAAATCAGTCTTGTCATTTACAGAAATATCTACAAATTCATCTTTCTTACTAACATTTCAGATATCTAATGTAGGTTATATAAGAAATGTATATTACATCATATGTGCTGTATTTAATTTCAATTTTATGTATAGGTATATATATCCATTGTTGTTGATAAGACAGGTCTTTAGTCGGTCGTTTTTGAGTAGATTGTCAGTATAATAACTTATATAACTTACAGTCGGTCTTACCTGTTGTGTTGTTATATTACAGTGGATGGTTTTGAGCCGGATGAGAAGTATGAGGATTTTGACAACCAGACCTCGTTACATGCTGCAGCTATTGGTGGTAGTCTACCCATTGTTCATCTGCTTGTACAGGTAAGTCATTGTATATTGTAACTAGGTGGACCAGAAATTTGTAGACATATGACTAATGCTCAGAAATCTTTGTATCAAATATAACAATGTTAGATCAGGCTCTTGTGCCCCAGTGTTGACATTTCAGTGTGATGAAACTTGTGACCCTTCAGAGGCACCAACAGCTGTGACCATTGCTGTTTTGAAAACATAAAACCACAAATAAACAATACAAAACCATACTTAATGTTTTATATAGAGATAATGAAAACCCTTTTTTGTGTTGAAATTCTGGGACAAAGTGAAAGACAATTACAGCTCAATGTGAGAAGGGAGACAAATCCTGCTTGCATTGGAAAATTAACAAATAGACTGGTGATATTACTCTTTTCTATTTTGTACAGGCAGGGGCATCAATCCACAGAATAGACAAGGAGATGAAGACCCCAATGATGTATGCAGCAGAAAACAACCATATCAATATTGTTCAGTACTTCCTCAAGATGAACGCTGATGTTACGCTAAGGGTACGATATCTACCTTTCACTTTACCTGGGCAGAAAAGCTGAATTCTTCATTAAATATCAGATCAATGAAACAGTTTTCAAACTGACAAATTGCGTTTTTGTGGACTGTTTTTCTGGTGATTGTTCATGCTATTTAAAAATAGAATACCGGGTAACAACAGAAACATTTCAAAATTTCAAGTTTTTTGAAGATTTTAAAACGCTGTAATATCAGAAATCCCTCTACAAATGTTGTTAAAGGATTGAATGATACAAAAAGCTACAGATCCTTTGGTATACAGGAAAGTCTGTCTAAACTGAATGCCAGGACTAATATTTCCATTCAGTTATACAAGACTTTCAGGTTACATAGATTCTAAATATAGAAATGTATGTCCTTGAACCTACATGTAATATGAGATGTGTACAGACTTATCCAGGGTTCAGATTTGACGGTTTCACTTGTTAGTATTTCTATACAATATTTATACAGAAAGGGACGTATAATGATGTTGTTAACTGTTACAGGCTGAAGATGGTATGACCGTGCTACATTACGCCGCCAAAGCCGGCCACGTAGGAGTAATCAAATTACTCCTGGAGGCGGACAAGATCGACATCAATGTTCAGGTAATTAAATCAAATGTATAGTGGTTGCTGTGGGGATTAAATGATCGTCCATTAAGTCATGTCAGGTTTGTGTAAACTTGTACAGTGAATCCTGTCTAATCTGACAAACTGTGGGACACACCATATTGGTTGGGTAACAGAGGGTGTTGGAATACACAGGTTTCACTAGAAATGAGATCACAGCATTGTGTTTTATAAGACAGGATGTTGGAACACTTAAGGGTGAAACAGGTTACACTGCATTTGATATTGAGCTTCAAACCGTTTATAGCTTGAAGAAAAACATTTGTACTTTGATAAAAGTTGCTTTTATATGAAGTGTCTCTGGTCATTAAGAAGAATCTGTTCTCAATCATTTCATTATTTTAAATTCGTTCCAGGATGATGGTGGGTGGACGCCAATTATTTGGGCATCAGAACACAGATATGTGAATGCTGTCAAATACCTAGTGAAGAATGGTGCTGATCCGAACCTCAAGGACAAGGTAGGATCTGTTTGAATGTAGATTGCATATGACATTGATACCTTAGCCTTAAACTGATAGCTTTGGAAGTTTAAAAACCCCCACCAATGCTGAATTTTCCATCCATTTTGAAGATTTTACCTACTTTTCGAAACGTTTCCCTTCATTTTATTGGATTAGTTCAAGATAAAAAATAAACGACAATAAGATTTGGCTAACATTTACATATAACACAAATTCACATGCATATACCATATGCTTCCTTACAAAAAAGCAGTATTATATGTTTCTGTGGATGAGGTGTTAAGGGAAGTGTACATTACTGTGTTTTGATGATATTTACTCAGTAAGGAAGAGGAATCAACACCTATCAATACAGCCTAATTCTGCCAACACAGCTTACCTCATGTCAAGCTGGCTGGTTCAGAAAAGTAGACTAATTTGAAAAAATGAAACGTGAATGTGTTGTGTATGTATTGTCAACAGGAGGAGAATACAAGTCTACACTGGGCCGCCTTCTCTGGTAGTGTGGACATCGCCGAAATATTTTTGAACGCAGGCTGTGATTTAGAGACTCCAAATGAACATGGAGACCGTCCATTGTAAGTGGATTGTTCTCCAGTGTATGTGAATTGTATAATAATCTAATTATGACCTGATCAAGTGGACTGTAATCAACACATATAAATAACTAAAGTTCATTAACTCATTCACTCCTGAAATTTTAGAATGAACTATTCCAACCTTTGAATTGGAAGAGTTCAAATGTGTCTTCAGGGGTGAATGAGTTAGTCCAACTTTGATATCACTATGGAGTTCATTTTCAATTATTGCATTGTTCGAAAAAAGTTTCTTTCAAACCATGTCAAAGATATTTATTAAAAGAAAATCCCTATGTAGAGCAAAGATATACCAAATGGAGATATAACCACCTGTAATATATTAACCCAAGATAGTTTGATGGTCTTTCCTTGGTTTTGTAGTACATTTTCTTTGTTGTGGTATTTATTCATGTGGGATGGTGGTTTGAGCGAACACATCTTTAGTGCCTTTGAGTAATTTCCTTGAGATAAGTGCAGTTGAAATACAGATGCTGGATACTTCTAATAACACCTTGAATAAGATTTTATAAAATAGACAGAATTCATTTATTGTCATTGTGATGTCAGAAGTGCATAGAGCTTCTCTACACCCTTGGGGTTTGGGTTTGACAAAGAAATCGCTCACAGCTCAAATTGGTGACAACTCTAAAAGATGGGAGAAAAAGTTGTCTTACAACAATATTTGCGTAATATGTGAACTTGCTCTCTTCCAAAGTGTTACTTTACATATCTAAAATGTTTGTTATTAAAAATGTAATCTGCATTTATATAATAGGTTATTGTGTGGGCTAAACATGTTACCGTATCTGTTGTTTTTAAAAATGTAATCTGCATTAGGTTATTGTGTGGGCTAAACACGTACCGTATCTGTTGTTTTTTAAAATGTAATCTGCATTAGGTTATTGTGTGGGCTTAACACGTACCGTATCTGTTGTTTTTAAAAATGTAATCTGCATTAGGTTATTGTGTGGGCTAAACATGTTACCGTATCTGTTGTGTTTAAAAATGTAATCTGCATTAGGTTATTGTGTCGGCTAAACATGTTACCGTATCTGTTGTGTTTAAAAATGTAATCTGCATTAGGTTATTGTGTAGGCTAAACATGTTACCATATCTGTTGTTTTTAAAAATGTAATCTACATTAGGTTATTGTGTCGGCTAAACATGTTACCGTATCTGTTGTGTTTAAAAATGTAATCTGCATTAGGTTATTGTGTGGGCTTAACACGTACCGTATGTGTTGTTTTTAAAAATGTAATCTGCATTATGTTATTTTGTGGGCTAAACATGTTACCGTATCTGTTGTGTTTAAAAATGTAATCTGCATTAGGTTATTGTGTGGGCTCAACACGTACCATATCTGTTGTTTTTAAAAATGTAATCTACATTAGGTTATTGTGTCGGCTAAACATGTTACCGGATCTGTTGTTTTTAAAAATGTAATCTGCATTAGGTTATTGTGTGGGCTCAACACGTACCATATCTGTTGTTTTTAAAAATGTCATCTGCATTAGGTTATTGTGTGGGCTAAACATGTTACCATATCTGTTGTTTTTCAGACACATAGCAGCACGACAAGATCACTATGAGTGTGTAGTGTAAGTATACCATACTCCATTTACACCAATATGTAGGGTGTCTGGTTTTATATGCAACATCAGGATTCACCATTATTAAACTACAAATGCGGAATGTCTTAAATAATTTTCCCCAACGATGTACATGCTGGGATTTTTCCAAAGCTTCTGCATATTTCTCTTTGACAGTAAGGTTAAATATCAAGAAAGACTTTATTTTGGAGATCAGAAACAGGCCACTTGTGTATCACCAAAATTTAGTATTTCAATATTATTTTATGAAGTTGAATTACTTTAAACTTCAAAATTGAAGATGCTGATAATTTCTTATGGTACTGGTACGTTTGAAAATACGAATAAATGTTACTTAGTAGTGAAAGTTAATTATACCTATAAAATCACTTATCATGAGCCATGTTTACGTTTTGCAGGTTATTCTTAGCTCGTGGTGCAGATGTGGAAGCAAAAAATAACGAAAATGAAGTGCCTATCCAGGTATGGTTGTGATAATATCTGTGTATGTTGTACTTGAAGAGGTCATGTTTATATATATAATGTAGTGGAATCTCATCATTTCTTCAGATAAGTTTTGACACTTCAATCCTACAAGTTAGGTTAATAATGAGTTTGTTCATATGTTTCTTTGAATAAGGTGTTGAAGCAAGTGTAAATTTCTTTGCATTGATGATATTTAACTATCTGGAAAAAATGAAAAGGTTGAACATTTGCCGTTTGTAAAAATGCAGCTGGATTGACAAAGGGAAATAACTCATATAGTAGGAATGACTCCCAAATCACCACGTGTCCGACAGTGAATTTCCACTGCAATTAAATCACAAACAGCCATATACTTACATGATATATTTCTTCCTTTCAGTGTTGTCTAAATGAAAATAGTCCTGTGTGGCTGGCTCTTAGAGTTAACAAACAGCTGAAGGGTTTTGCTGCGGCCAGAATGGGCAGACCAGAGAGGTTGATCCATAGGTAATACACAGACAAATGTTGCATCTGACCTAATAGATTTTACATAAATCACCTAATCCCCCCACCTCCCCACCCATCCCCCACCACCAGCACCACCAAAAACAAAACAAAAATCATCAGAATTATTATCTTATTGCTTCATTTATTCAATACAATCATGCAATCAGTTTTGTATCTTAATTCAACTTATCAATCATAAAATAGGAACTTATTTCTATACAAAATGACGTATTAATATAGAAGGTGACCGTTATTGACTTCTAACTTAACTCAATGCTTTAATTTTGCTGTTAAAGGGACGTGTCAATGGGCAGAGAAAACATTCCAATAGCGGTGGTGAATGGTGCCGACGACGACCCCATACCCACAGATTTCCAGTACATCACGGAGAATGTGGAAACAGCGGATCTAAACATCAACAGGACCATCAGTAGTTTACAGGTAGGTCTAGAGTCCCAAAACATACTCACCACTACTAAGTTAGGGGGAATACTGTGATCAGGTTGTCAGTCACTTAACACAATCCTGTCCATCCAAAGCCCTTTAAACTTGGTAGATGTGTATGTCAAGCTATTACATTGATACCACATGTTTTGTTAGAGCTATTGCTCTGTTGTTCTTGATCATTAAAGTCCTGAACAGAAAATTAGTACCTCGTAAAATATCAAGTTAACCCTTAGGCTGCTACGTGCCGCAATAGTGGTTTCGAAAAGTCCGTCCGTCAGTGCTACGCACCACAATAGTGGAGCGCGGTCTATTACCACCTGTACAGGTATATACTGAAGCAACTTTGGAATTGAAAACGTTAATATAAACTAGAAACAATAACGAACAATTTTCCTTTAACTTTTATTCACATATAACAAATATTTTTCAAGTTATGCGCATTTGAAAACTTAAGTTAATTAATTTATATTTCAATAATTAATTCAGCAGTGGCGTCCCTTTACATAGAAATCAATGTAGCAGCCTAAGGGTTAATTCCTTTGTAATATATGGTAAGGTTAATGAACATATTTAGTTTTACATGTCCATCAAACACACTGTTCTTATGATTTTGTTTTTCTCAAAGAGCACACATATATATTGAATTGAAGAGTTGGGGTAGTTCAAATTTCTTACCTGGTAAAAATTGTCTGTGCTCTAAATGGGAAAAATCACAACTTAAAACAGTTTTCTTCTGTTTACACACATGGTTCTTCATTATCTTACATTCAAATGTTATGATGTAATTTGAGCTGAAACCTAAGTAGTGTGTACATGCTTGTTAATCGTGTATTGTTTATGTCTTACAGAGTTGCCGATGTTCTGATAATTGCTCTTCCATGTTCTGTGTATGTGGACGCAACAGTGTCAAATGCTGGTATGACCGGGTAAGCAATTCACCCAACCTCCAATAAAACAAAATCATACTGCATGTCTGTGACATATGTATTCCATCTTAAAGTGTAGACACTATTGCACACAAAAAAATAAAAATAAATAGATAATATAGAAAGTTTGATGGCTGGTGACTTCAAAAAATTACTGTAGATATAGGATTGTTGTATGTTTATTCTGAGAGAGATAAGCACAGATAACCACTTAATAAAAGTTCTTATGTATCAGAAACAAAACATTAATATCGTTAGCCCTAGCCTGTTTGATAATCTGGTCCTCAGGCATGCAATAATACTGGTATCTCACTGAAATAAAAGACATATCTTTCAAATTGCAACCCCCCACCCCTTCAATTTTATGCAAACAGTTAAAACTTATGTACCTACAAGACTACTGCTAAAAATGAAAAGGCAATTGTCCCATTCATTTATATAATTTGAAATTTAAACTGAATTTATTTTACAACAATTGGGGGAAAATCAAGCTCTATCATCTTGGTGAAAGGAGAGTACCCTATCCCTTGAACCACTTAACTACCCTTATTTAAATGATTGCATACAGTTGAGCTTTGTTAAAACTAACTTTATATGTTATTAAACTTTTTATGAATTCAGTATTTGAATTTTCTTTTGCAATTGAGAGTTTAGTTAATTGAATTCTATCTTTGTAGGGTTGTCGACTGTTGCCAGACTTCAACATGCTGGAGCCACCATTAATATTTGAGTGCAACAAGGGCTGTCGGTGTTGGAGCACTTGTAATAATCGTGTTGTCCAGATGGGAATAGCGTAAGCTACTATTTACTTCCATCAGAAAAAATATTCTTGTCAATTATAAATTGTATGCTTTAACCATTATCTTCTCCAGCATTTGCACAAATGTTCAGCCAATTATGCCAATAACTGATTTTGGTCTCTTCAGTGTAATGTAATACATTTCGAGAATATAACAGTCTGCTGATCAAAGAAATATGGCATAAGTGGATACAGCATAGCATGGGAGATAATTAGGAACTGTTAGACTCTGAATGAGCAATTATCTCCCTTTCAGTGTGACATCCTATTCGACTTTTTGACTAAAAATGTATGGTTGATTTTTTGGTCGTATTCTCTTATATATCTATCTGACTTGAAGCATTTCATGTAGTGTCAAGAAATAGCATGATAAAACAAGAGGAAATCAGACATTTTTTTTAACAAAGGTTCTGAAACATCCACATTCTTCAGGAAAAATGCTTTTAAACACCATCAGTTTCTCCAGATTAAGAAAGGTTTTGATTCCCAAAATTCCTAGAAAAAATTCTTGATTGGACTTTGGTTAATGATTATATCTGCTGTAAAATTTCTTTAAACACACTTAAATCCAGTGTAACTTAACTTAGTACACCAACAATATATGCTATAGTAAACTAAAAGAAATTTTGATCAGCACAATGATACTTTAGCAAAATATTCAAAGCACAGTAAGTAACGTAACAAGATCACCACAAAGATAAGTAATTAAGTATGTACGTTTACAACTTTACAGGGTTCTGAGTTGAATATATATCTTACTGACTGTTTTGTATGACAGGAGTCGACTACAGATGGTGAAAACTAACGGCCGTGGCTGGGGCGTCAAATCACTGCTAGATATACCAAAGGGCATGTTTATCTGCGAGTGAGTACAGCTGCATGTTGATTATCCTGCATAACCTTTGTTATTTCATTAATATTTTTAAGGAAATTAACTGGAGTTGATTACTTCAAACGTTTTTATTATAATAGTAAAAGAAATCTCAAAATTATGTTCCTTTTCTATAATTGAAATCTAGATTTTGATAATATTTTCAAACTTTTTGATTTTGATTTTTTTTTTTTCACGTCAAGAAATATCATGGATTATCATCTTTTTGCTTTTCCCTGCAGGTATATTGGTGAGCTCATCTCAGATTCAGAAGCTGACAGTAGAGAGGATGATTCTTATCTATTTGACCTGGACAACAGGGTATGTAGACGAAAGTTCAAGATTATTTGTTGTATTAAACACATCTATTTAACATAGAAATGCAGTTTCTTTTTAAATGTGGAAAACAATTTCAATAACGAAATATCTTGAAAATAAGTTCCTAATAAAATTAGTAGTTTGGCTACAGAAACATTAATGGTATTGACCAGCTTTGAATTCTAATAAATAATTATGTCGATAATATTTAGCTTAATACTGATTAATTGTCTGCTTCAAGTGTATTGTTGTCTTTTTGTATGGAGAACAAAATTAAGAGCAGCTGAAAAGTTCGCTTTGGGGAGATGTCACTGTTCAAAAAGAGAGAGAAAAAAATAATTGAATCTGTTATTTTATTTTATAGGATGGAGACACTTACTGTATTGATGCACGTCGTTATGGTAACATCAGCCGCTTTGTCAACCACCTTTGTGAGCCGAACCTGATCCCTGTCAAGGTGTTTGTGGAGCATCAGGACCTGCGCTTCCCTCGCATCTGTTTCTTCTCTTCGCGTGACATCAAAGCAGACGAGGAGCTTGGGTCAGTAACAAGTGTGGATATTACCAGGGGATGTTGTATAATGGGATATCTTGCTTTAGTGCTGGTGATATGTCCATGTTCATCTGCACTTACCTCTTCTTGGACAGATTTTGCAGATATAGCCCATCTAAAAATAAGCCCTTCTTGAATACAATGAACTAATAATTTTGGTGTGAAATATATGCTGTGTTGATTAATTTTTCATTAGAAATTATAATTTAAATGTTACATGTTACTGTTTGTAAATGACAGATTTGAAAAACATTTTGCAAATTTTGTAAAAGTTACACCAGAAATGGATAAATTAGAGGGGCCCTTTTTGTGACTGCACACTCACAATTATTTGTTTACTCCCCTTTAAGGGTCAGGCCACCATGATTTATCACAGGTATAACTTTATATTTTGCTTTCCGGCTGGAGAGACTAGACCCCAGGTATTAGAACCTGTCTCCAGCAAGCTAAGAATAATAAGACAGATATTAATTAGGTTATACTAGAAATTTTCCTGTTTTATCTGAATGTTGATGTGATATTATATTATTATTACCTAAAGAAATGTGTGATTAATACTGTTTATGAGGACTCAGTATAGATATAATGAGGGGAAAAGGTGTAAAAACTTTTATTCAGAACTTCAGGTTTCATTGTACTTCATGCATTTTGAATATTTCTATTAAAACTGTTTACTTTAAATGGTTAGTACATGTTTTGATAATACATTCTATCCCTAAACAGGTTTGACTATGGCGAGAAGTTCTGGATGATTAAGTGGAAGCAGTTCACATGTGCCTGTGGCTCGCCCAAGTGTAAATATTCTAGTGAAACAATCCAGAAAACACTGGAGGACTATCGCCTCCGACATGAGGATGAAGGAACTGGAGAAGGTGGGACCACGTAATCGTGACGAGCGGGACCATTCATTAATCATAGACTTGGTCATATGTTATTAAATATGGAATGTTATTTTAATATAAACACAAATCCACTTCCTGATTCAAACTGGTATAAAGTCACAAGTGTGCTCACGAAAATGGTTGGGCTGTATACATGAAGTATGTGTCGACAAAAAAAGATAGTTTTATGCATGAAATGAAAACTTGGAATTAATTAGATTGATTGTTAAAAGGGCAGCTGTGTAAAGATTAAATAAATACTGTATAAATTACTGATGTGAGGCTAAATGGCCGTCTCATTGTCTCAATTCATTAAAAAAGGCAGATTTTTTTTCAAATATTGAATTTTACGACAAATGAACAATGATTATAGTTTATTAATGAAACTAATTTGATATAGAAACGAATACCATCAACTTGTACAGGAAATTGTAAAGGACCGACTATTAAAGATTAGTTTACAAGCTTTAGTATGATTTAGCTTTGTGGTATATATTTGCAGTTTTAGACATTTGGCCTGGTTTACCTATTGGTACAGTCGCTGAAGAATAAACCTGTGAACTGACCCTCTCTAGTACAAGTGGTCACTGTCCTTGACTAGTATCAGTGGTCAGTGACCTTCACCTTCTAATGTCAGTACATTACTGTCCTTGACTAGAACCAGTGGTCACTGTCCTTCCCCTCTATTATCAATGTTCACCAGATGACAAAGGTAAAAGTGCACCTGTTGTTAATAAATTGTCAGTCAATGTTTTGTGAGTTAAAGATGAAATAAATTGGTCTGCACATTTTATAAGTATCATTGTGTTCAATTACTGCACACCATGGTGTGTTATATACAATAGTAAAATGTGTGTGTGTACCACAATAGTTTATCAACATACTGTGTATGATGAATTGTCTCGTATATTTGCCACACCACATTTAGGTTCCGAGTTTCACTATTTAACTCATTCACCCCTGAAGACACATTTGAACTCTTCCAATTCATAGGTTGAAATAGTTCATTTATGAAATTTCAGGGGTGAATGAGTTAATACTGATCTGTCTAGCGCTGTCTTGGTGTTATTTATGTCTCAGCTATTGTTAGCTATGTATAATTATTGGGTGAAATTCTAAATGAAATTGGAATTAGTTATGTAGAGGGTAATATTAATATAACAATTAGAATTTATATTTTAACATATTTGTTTTGCTCTACTAATAATATTTTTAAGCCATGCCATTTTTTAATTAGTAAGCAAAGTTTATGTAAAAAATGATTCTGATATTGCTGTATGTTTGCACCTGGACATGTGAATTTGTGTTAATTGTGAAAAAACCCTAAACGAAAAGTGATGTGATACTATACACATTTTAATATCACAGGAAGAAACCGTATCAAATGAAACAGTGCTCAACTGTTGGTTCTAGAAAAGATAACATTGAACGAAATTCTCATTAAAAACTAAAGGTATTGTCTTCAGAAAACTTCCTTTAGGAAGGAAATGCTAGCCATTTCAAAGAGATCCCAATGTTTAGTGTATGTGGAAAAGCATATTTCTTTTTGAAGGTGTCAATATTTCAAGACCAAGATAATCGTGTATAAATTGCAAGTTGTATATAATTTATTTGTGCATACTTTTATTTTGTAAAAAGTGTTCACACATTTTATTTGTTGTAAGTATACCTGCTTGTTATATTAATAGGAAGATGATATGATAATCAACTTTAGCTAGTTCTAGAATACATATACAATACTTATACATCCTAGGGTCTGCTTTTGCATATTTCTACCATATACATTCTTTTGGCTTAAAAGAACGATTTGGTTATTTAATTTTATATAATAATTACATGACTAAAATGATTGTCAAAACTTCCGATTTGTTGTAAAATCAGATTCTTTGGAATTTTAATGTTTGATTGGAAAATGGATCGGAAATAACATTTTTGAAGAAATATTTTTTTTAATTGAAGTTCCAAGTAATCGCATTTACGTTCAATCAGGTGACGAGTTTCTGATATTGAACATGTTCCAGTGATGTTTTTGGAATAGAAAATAAGTTTTGAATTTTAGGTTTTTACATCTATAAGTATTTCAGTACTTAAGAAAAATTCACATGTAGAACATGAGAATTTGGGTAGTTGAAATTTGACAGTGAAATCTTAGTTTATCTGTCTTTGAATAAGCAAGTGTGATCGTATATTCTTGTATGTTGATGATAAATTTCACTCTGTTTCCACCATTCATTTGGGTGTATGACTTGACATTATATAAGGGGTCCTGCTCTGGTGACCTTTCCTTAAGGAATGTGGATTTTCCAACACTGCGGGCCAACAGTCATCCCAATCTATCACTAGTACTCGGCAGATAAATTACTTCAGCTAAAAGGCCACATACACCCGACACACACAAGGATAGACATTTATAAGTCGTCTTAAACTACATGGTAAGCAAAAGGTGTTATTCAGCCATCATTCAAATAAAAATAATTTTGGAAATTGTGTTTTCATTATCTTAAAGATAAACATGCGACATATTGGCATTTCATGATGGACTATTATTATATTGTATATAGAAGTACTATTTGTACGAGGCTGGTATCATTTTAATAAACATGTATGATTTCTGTTGTATTTTACTAGCCATAGAGTGTATATATATTCAGACAATTGTATTAAGTATAGCTGTTTTAGCCAACTTTGTATCAGCTTAATTTTATTTTTTTTGGTTTTGTATCTAATCTGTCACTGTGTATAATTGTTTGTTTTACTCGCTCAGAACCCGTACAAGGGTTGATTTCTATTTACTGAACGAGAGTGCACGTCCAGATATTCCGGGCTGTAAGAGGTACTATGTTCAACACAATATTTATTGGTCCCTTGCACTGTAAGTTTATCTTAGGTTTAAAAGTCACATTCACAGCTTCTGGCATATTCAGCTGGATTGATGCGATAAAATGAAAGCTGAAATTATAATCACCCAATCCTAACAAGTATTATTCATCTTTATTCAAGCCTGCTTAACAATTTTGTTTCATTGGCCAACTTGCGTTTTGCCTTGGTAATTTTTCAAGAAATCGGGATAATATAGGGGTGTTTTGATATCAAGATATTACAAGCAGTGTAAGTGTATGTATTGACACAGATTAGATGTCAAAAAGCCTGCGTCCAAAAAGTCCTGAGGATAATTTGTTGTGAATAGGACAATAGCATTTGACAGGTGTATATTTAAGTGATTAGTGTTAACGAGTCTTGGAGTATAAGATGAAGGTAGCAGTCACATTACCCGAAGGTATAACTTTTATTCAATCTGAAAAACAAACTTTTTTTAAAGTTGCAATAACATTAAAACAAATATTTGATTCATTAAAAAAACCCACTGTTTCTTAAATTTTAAAATGATATTTGAGTTTCTTAAATAAAAGATGTTCTGTTTTGTGTAAAATAGATATCTTTTCAGATAGTGATGCACAAAAACTAATGGACAACAAAAGTATTGGTGCAATTAGGTGTTGAGGACTGACAGTGTTCAGATGGTCACTAGACAACCCTCTTCTATTGTGGGATAGTGACCCCCTTCTATCAGGTGGAAGAATGCTCCCACCTCCCTAAGTTAACATGTGGAATAGAGGTCCTAATATGAGGGAGATTGGCCCCCTCTTTAATATGTGGGAGAGCGGCCGCTAATTGTGGGATAGTTCCTACTTACATGTGGAATGAGGGATTGTTGCCCCTTTAACATATTGGAAAGCAGTCCTCCTTTTAACATGTGGGAAACTGAGTCCCCTTGTAAAATGTGGGACAGAGGGGGCCTTGGTAACATGTGGGAAAGAGGGGCCCCTTGTAACATGCGGGAAAGTTGGTCCCCTTGTAACATGTGGGAATGTGGGTCCCCTTGTAACATGTGGGAAAGTGGGTCCCCTTGTAACATACGGGAAAGTGGGTCCGCCTGTTACATGTAAGAAAATTGGCCCCATTATAACTTGTAAGATAATTGCCTTTCATTAACATTACTGAGGCCATAACATATGTGATGGTGCATGGGAGAGAGTGTTTTGTATGTACCCGTTTGTTTTTAACATCAACATGCATATGTTTCATTGTAAATAAAGTAGAATGAAAGAAAATAAATGACTTCATTATTTGTAATCCCGCCTTTGGGGGAAGCACATATTGGTGATATTCTGTCCATTGACCGTCCATCAACATTTGTCTTGCCTGCAGCTTCCTGACCTAAGTGTTCAATTAAATTTCATGAAATTTACAGAAGTATTCCTAACAGCAATCTCTGAGAAATCAGTCGAGGTCAAAGCTACAGAATCTGTACATGGTGATGAGTAAATAGTAGATTTGGCTTGTCCACAGGTTCCAAACCTAGGTTTTCAAACAAAGTAATAAAACATCAGTTCCTGACATCGTTATCTGGGGACCCCAGTTGAAAGTCACACGAGCAAAGCCATGGTCATAGCTACAGTCTATACAGGAATATTGGACATTAGATACTTGGCTAGTCTGAAGCTTCCTACTACTGTTTTAAGCCAAATATTATAAAACGTTCAGTATCATTTTTTTTGCGCAGCAACCTCAAACAATTCCTGTTAGAGCTATTTCTCAGAAGGTGCTTAAGGGATCTTTCAAAATTTTTCTTGAAGGTTCCCAAAAGTTCCTAGTTATGCATATTAAATATTGGGACTAATTACGAAACCAAGATGGCAGCCATCTTGAATTTAAGTGCTTCAGTCTGGAAGCACTATTTTGCAGGAGTGACGGTTCCCTATGGTTTCTTGTTATGCCTACTGAATATTGGGGCTGAATGAAAAACTAAAATGGTTGACTGTGGACGTAAATTGTGAACGTTTGTTATTGCTATTTCTCGCTAAATTGTGGAGGGATTTTTCTCAAATTTTATATGTAGGTTCCTCTACATTGTGCATGAACCAATAGTTGATCAAAGTAAACCATATTTTTTTCAACCCTGTTAACTTAACATCTCAGCAGCTTATGACATATAAAACATCAAGACTCTAGACCCTGTAGAACTTCAGAACAAGCTTTTCAAAGTTTGTTACACAAACAAAGTACATTTGAACTTTGATCCCTACCGAAAACCGAAAGAAGACCTTTGATACAAAAATATTTCTTAAGAAAAAGTTTCGCATTTTTGGTCTACATAGCATACCCAAATATGAAAGCAATGGCTTTATTCGTTTATTTGTTGTTGCAATAAGGGAAAACCCCGCATATGATGTCATAGCGGCCGTCATGGATTTGGGATCAAAACAGAAGTTATCGAAAACTTGATAGGTAGTCTGGGCAAACATAAATACCTATACTGGATGAAATCTACGTAGAAACATCAGATTAAAACGGTTGTGACATATGGTCGGCTTTTCAAAAACATCAAAGGATAAATTCAAAATGGCATTAGGTAAAATTATAGACAAACTGAAGACATCAAATTCATCAGGATGAAATGCCCTATCGACTACAAAAATCATTTGTTGGTGACCTTTGACCCAACAACGAGGATTTTTATTTGACCTTTTCTGTATTAACATGTCATGAGAAAAAGTTAACCCCGAAGAATGAATGCTGTATAATGAAGGGTTTTTGAGTAATCGTCATTTTAATAACTCAATTAAGAGATGACCTGGTAAACTCAAAATGCTTTCTACGAAAAATATGCGCATTGATGTCGTTCACATACAGTACCTGAATATAAAGTGAATCCATTAGAAAATATTCGAAATATTCCTGATCAAAGACATTTTTTTTTTAACATCTCACATTTATGAATATCAAAGGCCTGAATAAATAGATGACGTAATTTAACAGACTCCACACTTCACCACTGCATGGAAACTGAAAATAAGATTAAAAATAACACAAAACAACAGAAAGGAATACATTTGATTATATTTGAATTATAATAAAACATTTCATTTTTTCATTGTTTTCAATGTTACAATCTTGTGGATTAAATACTTATTTTAGACGCATGCCGTTTTAAACGTATCACTGGAGCTAACAACGGATGCTGCTTCGGTCTCAAAAATAGATGATCTGTTTATACTCATAACCATCGAATCATACTCTGTTCACTTCATATCCTCCTTAGCTGCGAAAGAAACAAAAATGAAAATAATAAAAGAAATCAAAATACCCTCCTCCCCAGATAATACACGACACGAGATCAGAACGCTGAAGTGACACTATAGTTTTAACTTTCACCTTTTCCCTCACTCCTTCCCTTTCTTCTTGCTTATTTTCTTATGTCAATTAGTATATTGTCTTCTATGTATATATGCTGAACTTTTTGTCATCGCGTGTAATATCTTTAGTTACTGTGTGTTGTATTATCGGGCGAGGGCCTAGTATGTTGTTATATCTTTTGTGTTACTGTGTGTTGTATTGTCGGGAGAGGGCCTAGTAAGTTGTTATGTCTTTTGCGTACTGTGTGTTGTATTGTCGGGGGAGGGGCTAGTAAGTTGTTATATCTTTAGTCACTGTGTTTTGTATTGTCGGGTGAGGGCCTAGTAAGTTGTTATATCTTTAGTCACTGTGTGTTGCAATGTCGGGAGAGGGCCTAGTAAGTTGTTATATCTTTTGCGTACTGTGTGTTGTATTGTCGGGAGAGGGCCTAGTAAGTTGTTATATCTTTTGCTTACTGTGTGTTGTATTGTCGGGAGAGGGCCTAGTAAGTTGTTAAATCTTTTGTGTTACTGTGTGTTGTATTGTCGGGAGAGGGCCTAGAAAGTTGTTATATCTTTTGCGTACTGTGTGCTGTATTGTTGGGAGAGGGGCGAGTAAGTTGTTATATCTTTAGTGTTATTGTGTGTTGTATTGTCGGCAGAGGGCCTAGTAAGTTATTATATCTTTTGTGTTATTGTGTGTTGTATTGTCGGGCGAGGGCCTAGTAAGTTGGTATATCTTTTGTGTTACTATGTGTTGTATTGTCGGGCGAGGGCCTAGTATGTTGTTATATCTTTAGTTACCGTGTGTTGTATTGTCGGGTGAGGGCCTAGGAAGGTGTTATATCTTTAGTGTTACTGTGGGTTGTATTGTTGGGAGAGGGCATAGTAATTTGTTTTATCTTTAGTTACCGTGTGTTGTATTGTCGGGGAAGGGCCTCGTAAGGTGTTATATCTTTTGTGTTACTGGGTGTTGGATTGTCGGGGGAGGGCCAAGTAAGGTGTTATATCTTTTGTGTTACTATGTGTTGTATTGTCGGGCGAGGGCCTAGTAAGTTGGTATATCTTTTGCGTACTGTGGGTTGTATTGTCGGGAGAGTGCCTATTGAGTTGTTTTTTCTTTTGTGTTACTTTGTGTTGTATTGTCGGGTGAGGGCCTAGGAAGGTGTTATATCTTTAGTGTTTCTGTGTGTTGTATTGTCGGCAGAGGGCCTAGTAAGTTTTTATATCTTTTGCGTACTTTGTGTTGTATTGTCGGGGAAGGGCCTCGTAAGGTGTTATATCTTTTGCGTACTGCGTGTTGTATTGTTGGGAGGGGGGCTAGTAAGTTGTTATATCGTTTGCGTACTGTGTGTTGTATTGTCGGCAGAGGGCCTAGTAAGTTTTTTTATCTTTAGTTACTGAGAGTTGTATTGTCGGGAGAAGGCCTAGGAAGTTGTTATATCTTTAGTCACTGTGTGATGTATTGTCGGGAGAGGCCCAAGTAAGTTGTTATATCTGTTGTGTTACTGTGTGTTGGATTGTCGGGAGAGGGCCAAGTAAGGTGTTATATCTTTTGCGTACTTTGTGTTGTATTGTCGGGGAAGGGCCTCGTAAGGTGTTATATCTTTAGTCACTGTGTGATGTATTGTCGGGAGAGGTCGTATCAGAGTTTTATATCTTTTGTGTTATTGTGTGTTGTATTGTCGGGCGAGGGCCTAGTATGTTGTTATATCTTTAGTTACCGTGTGTTGTATTGTCGGGCGAGGGCCTAGTAAGTTGGTATATCTTTTGTGTTACTATGTGTTGTATTGTCGGGGAAGGGCCTCGTAAGGTGTTATATCTTTAGTGTTTCTGTGTGTTGTATTGTCGGCAGAGGGCCTAGTAAGTTTTTTTATCTTTAGTCACTATGTGTTATATTGTCGGGAGAGGGTCTAATAATTTTTTTTCTTTTTAGTCACTGTGTGTTGTATTGTGGGGAGAGGGCCAAGTAAGTTGTTGTTTTATCTTTTGTGTTATTGTGTGTTGTATTGTCGGCAGAGGGCCTAGTAAGTTTTTATATCTTTTGCGTACTGTGTGCTGTATTGTCGGGCGGGGGCCTAGTAAGTTGTTATGTCTTTTGCGTACTGTGTGCTGTATTGTTGGGAGAGGGCCTAGTAAGGTGTTTTATCTTTAGTTACCGTGTGTTGTATTGTCGGTAGAGGGCCTAGTAAGTTTTTTTATCTTTAGTCACTATGTGTTATATTGTCGGGAGAGGGTCTAATAATTTTTTTTCTTTTTAGTCACTGTGTGTTGCAATGTCGGGAGAGGGCCTAATAAGTTGTTATATCTTTAGTCGCTGTGTGTTGTATTGTCGGTAGAGGGCCAAGTAAGTTGTTATATCTGTTGTGTTACTGTGTGTTGGATTGTCGGGGGAGGGCCTAGTAAGTTGGTATATCTTTTGTGTTACTATGTGTTGTATTGTCGGGCGAGGGACAAGTAAGGTGTTTTATCTTTAGTTACCGTGTGTTGTATTGTCGGGCGAGGGCCTAGTATGTTGTTATATCTTTAGTTACCGTGTGTTGTATTGTCGGGTGAGGGCCTAGTAAGTACTGTGTGTTGTATTGCCGGGAGAGGGCTTAGTAAGTTTTTATATCTTTTGCGTACTGCGTGTTGTATTGTTGGGAGGGGGGCTAGTAAGTTGTTATATCGTTAGTTACTGTGTGTTGTAGTGTCGGGAGAGGGCCTAATAAGTTGTTATATCTTTGGTGTTACTGTGTGTTGTATAATCGGGAGAGGGCCTAGTACGTTGTTATATCTTTCGTGTTACTGTGTGTTGTGTTGTCGGGAGAGGGACTAGTAAGTTGTTATATATTTTGCGTACTGTGTGTCGTATTGTCGGGAGAGGGTCTAATAATTTTTTTTCTTTTTAGTCACTGTGTGTTGTATTATCTGGCGAGGGCCTAGTATGTTGTTATATCT